TATTCATACTATCAAAGAATTCACTGCTTGTCAATTACGAAATGTGTATAAGCGAGGTAATATTATTTTATTAATAAACATGTTAAGGCTCTTAGTTCTACCTCTATATTGTGTTGCGACAATCTTGTTCTGTCGGTAGCCTCGGATTTCCTATTGTCCACCTCAGATAGATTTAATTCGTTTCCCATTTTGCGCACCATCCTCAGTTCTTCCTTCTCATCAAACGAGCTTCTCAATTTTATCCTCTCACTTGCAAAATGGGCTAATTTTGAAAAGGTTTGAATAATTTTCCATATTTTTAGGATGTCATTCCTAATCTGGTTTCTTTTCTGGTTAGGCTGGTGTCTCGCCAAGAGCAGCCTATCAACTTGCTTGATTTTCTTTTTCGAGTCCTCTTATTTCGACGTCCTCCCTTGCAAGAACCAGAAGTCACTGAAATAGTTAACCCATTGTTCTCTATGGAGTTGGCCAGTACACACACAAAAGTATTAACTAACGTAAATAAACAAAAACAATTCCTTGAATGGATCATCAGTCCGATTAAAGCATGTTATGGGAGTCGTTCCGAAAATGCTATCATGGCTGCCTTCGTTCTACCTTATGTCAGGTAGGAACAATTCATATTTTGAAACCTCCAGGCCCCTGGACTCTGAATATGTGTGTCGGGTTTTGATTGAGTGCAAGAGTCTTTTGTTAGATTCATTGACCAAAGATAATGGTAAACAAAATTATTTTAAAACTGGGCATTTTTGCATAAATACATTTTGTTACTATTTCAGCAGCGAAACTTCTTGTTCAACTTTTGGCACTTGTTGAGGCTCTCTCATCAATTCTACCATCTGGATGCTCAGTATTAGGAAATAAATTTTTTCAAGGAAAAGATTTAAACTACCTGTTCATCTTACTTAGGCAAGCATTTCATGTAAATCATTGTATTCTCAAAATTAAGCGCATTAATGCACGTCTGTGTTGTCATTTTTAGGATGATAAAACAATTTGATACCGATACTTTATGTGTTCTGCTCAGAGTGATCGATGTGATTTCGACCTATCTGCGTTTACGTGATATTCCAAGTGAATCGTCGGATATTCAAGTACCTAAAGATGTATTTCATACGCTTCTTCTTCTTCTTCGGTCTCATAGCCACCAGGTAATTTTGAATTGTTTTTATTGCTTCCTGCCTCAATCGTTTTTGCTTTAGATCCGTCTACATGCCTTGCGCATATTAATTGCGTTCAACGATATTCTGCACCTCTCGCTTTCGGATCCTGTCCTCAGACGATGCCTTGCCATAGAACGCATCAAATTAACGCCTCAGCGCACACGCGAGTTCATTAGTGAAGTTGGTAATCTACATGCGGGAAGAGAAGAAATTACTGGGTCTTCCAGTACAGCGCAGGCAAGCTACTATTTGATTTAAAAGGCGGTCAATTAGGGTTACTTTAGAAAGCAGTTTCAGCTCACAGTTGAATTTTTTTTTTCTGGTATTGCGTGTCCTATTCTACTTACAAATCAACTAAATAGTATTTTAATTCAAACCATAAAATTATCTAAAAATGCTAATTGTAATTATGTATTCGCCTCATTCCCCTAGTCATTGTGATTAGTTTTTCGCTTAGTTACTCTACATTGTTTTTTCATTATCACTTCCATGTACATCTTATTTTTTCATTTATATTTATTCAATCGATACACTTGTTCCTATCCTATTTTTTCTTAATCTATAAATATTATATTCTTTGCACATT